GAAGGTGATTCTGAATCTTACAGTACCTCATGCCTCTTCTACTCTCCCACTCCTTCTCAAGGCCTGGACTGTTTTGTACAGGGACTTCAATCCAGAACATGACTACAGAGTACTGGGTCTAGATATTCCACCCGAAGAATAGGCCAGAAAGAAATACACCAGTGGTTCCTTGGAACTTTCTCAGCGTGTTAAGACATCCCAAAATAGAAACGTTATATGCAAAAGAATTGGCTGTACCAAAGATTTTAAGGGATAGATAGTTTCAATGCCTGAAACGCGGTTATTCTCTAATCAGGCGACATGGCTTCACAGATAGAGCTTGCATTACCAGGACAATTACTGCAGGACAAGGGCTGGTGGTCTACATATGAAGAATCCTAATTCTTGTTCCACCTAAAACTGTTCCATTAATAAGACAAGATGAATATTTGCTAGTAATCAAATATAGATGCAAGTGAAGATATGACAGATCGAAGAAATCATGATGAAATAATATGAACAACTGAAATCTCGTTCCTTAGCACCAGGAGCTGTTGATAGAGGTACTGAAATCTATCTGCAATGCCAATTTTAAGGCCTCTCTGTTGCAGACTTCCTGCCTTCATTACCCGAAAGACTGGGAATTGTAGTTCAATAATAATCTTCTCGAAAAGTCTTCTTGAAAAGAAAACAAAATCCTTGAAGTCCCTCCTTAACAATTCCAGAGGAGCTGGATTTCGGGAAAGCTAATTTCTCATCATCGCCAGACTATCAAAAAGAGATGGTAAATTCAATGCACCTTGAAATATCCCCTTATGTAGCATTAAAGATTGCATTTCCAGTGCAAGGGGCATGAAAGCATCTCTAACAGCCTGCATTGTAGAATCCAAAAGCTGCGTATGAGGTAAAAGTAGCTGCAGGGTCGCGTCGAGCTCTGATACCCGGTCGAGAAAATGATCGATACATTGCAATACATGCAAAATGTCATCAAAAAAGCGTAAGATGGAGGCTTCCGGGGGAAGACTTTTTGCAAATATCATAGTGTGACTGGTACACCAATACCTGGCTCGCACATACTCATCGAGAAACATGGTATCCATAGAACAAGCATGTTCCATATTGATAATCTTGACACATTTTTGTTACAGTTTCCGCGCGGCTCCTGAAGCAGTGGTTGATTTATCATGGCAGATCGTAGAGGCAAGACAACATAAAATATGATATTCCTTATCGTCTCGAGTAAGATGTCCTCGGATAATTTGGTGTAACAGAAATGCCGTATCATAGGTTCCATTAGAGTCGGAGTCATAGGATCGAGCCCAATCAGGTGTTGGATATAATAGTCTCTGCCACCACCAATACCAGAGCCGAATCGCATTCCCTATGACAAATCTGGAAGGGCCGTGGTTGTCAAGGAAATCAACTCCACAAAAGTGGACGACAGAAAGGTCATGAATCAATATTGAAGGAGTTTTTTCCCGGCTGTCTTAAATAGATGTTATAGTTTCCCTCCACCTTGCAGCGACATCTTTTGGTAGACTGCCTAAGATATCATCACTTGATTAGTCAGCAGAGCCATCTAACGTAATCGGTAAGCGAGTGGGGCTTACAGCTCGGCGTGGGTAGAAAAAAACTCCGCGTGGGTAGAACTAGCGCCAACTATTTTCTACCCACGATGAACTCTAGACCTCGGCATGGGTAGAGCTAGCGCAGTCTAACCTTACTATGGGTAGAAAATCAATTCTCTACCTATGATAAGCTTATCTCTTATCATTAGGGTATAAACCTAATACAAATAAAATATTTATTACTTCTAATATACTAGTAATAGGCATATACTTAGTAGAAATAGTAATTTTAATACTATTATTATTTATTATTCCTTTTTTAGCTAGAATTAGCCTTTATGTTGATAGTATAGAGTAATAGTAGTAAATTTTAGTGTAGTAGTAGGTAATCTTAAATAAGACCCTATTCTAGTTAGATAAATAGCTCATCGTGGGTAGAGCTAGCATGGGCCAACCTCATCATGGGTAGAATCTCTACCCACGCCGAGAGTTAATCCATTCCGGGGTTCTACCCACGCGGAGTTTTTTTCTACCCACGCCGAGCTGTATCCCCAAGCGAGTGGCCACTGTAAGCGAGTGGCCACCCTTCCCGCGTATTCCGATCAACATACATTTTTGAAGCTGTTTTTCAACATATTGAAGTTATTAAAAATGTTTTTTTTAGTTGATTTCTCTTGTAGGGCAGTGTGTATGTTTATGGCCTAATTGATTACAATTACTGCACCGGGGTGGCGCGCGGCGGCGAGGTTGTTCCTCATAGTCAGCCGGCTGGATCACCTCGCCTCCAGGTGCTTCGCCGGCTTGACAAGGCTGTTGAAAAGCCTTAATTGCTTCCTGTATGGTGAGACTGTCAAGACTAGTTATTTGGTGATGACTCCTTTTCCTCTTTCTTTCTTGGCGCTCTTTTCCCTCTCGGAGTTGGCGATTTTTGGCTTCAAGAAGGGTTGTCTGATTGATCGCAATCTTACAGCCTTTTATTATATATGATAAAGCAGTCTTTATTGGTGTGGACAGGCTTTTCGAGAGCTTGCGAAGTACTTTTTTAATAGTAGATTTATGCTTCTTTAATTGCCTCATGTTATTAGGAGTCTTTGGTATTGTTGAAGCTGTACTTGGCTGGCTAGGGGGGGGTAGTATTACAGAGGCAGTAAACAAGCTAGTTAACTACCTTGGTAGGTAAGAAAGGCACTATTCCTGCGGCGCGAAAAGTATTCTGTATAGTTGCTTTTTTAAAAGCAAATAATTAAGTATCTAGATATGTATCTAAGAAATCCTCCTTATTAACTTTGTGGATTCCCGTGCGGATCAACTTCTTAATTAGCCTGCCATACGCCTGTTTTAATGGCAAAAAACACGCAATATCCAATAGTTGACACAGGTGCGAGGAGTGTGGAGGCATATAGATAGGAATAATATTATTTTAATTATAGATTTTGTCAAATTCAGGCGTTAAATGGGAGTTATAGCCGTCAAGTATTAGGAGGCTATATTTCCTAGTTCTTCGGCTTTGGATAAATGGAATAAAGTGTTCACATAGCTAAAAAAGACCTATTCTATTAGTAGTCTATCTATTTAGTGATATATAAAGTCTCTAATCGGAAGGCAACTTTCTACCTTGATACCATGACTGTATATAAACCTTGCCTTTAAGAATCATGAACAGAGGCAAGGCCCAGCTAGCTGCATTAATACATTTGATTGATATTACCCACTCGCGATTCCCAGGCTGTATAAGGAACGGTCTTCTAATGCAGTCAGATCTGGTAATAACGCGCGCAGTAGCCACTATTCCCATAGCAAATCTAGTTTCATCAAAGTTGTAGATATCTTCATCTGCGATGCTGTACTCTAATATAGCAGCTTGAATACAAGAGAACCACTTGCTAATCATCTTTAGATCCTCACAGCGAGCGCGCTGATAGTTATAACGGCGGGAAAAGCGAGATTTCAAAGTATCATGTCTTTTGATGAAGTTATATACCTATTTCTCTCCTATATCTGTATGGTAGTTCAGATCACGCTTTTGGATTAAGAGAGTAGCCATTGTACGAATGTATGAAGGCCTGGGTGGAAGGCCTCGCTGATCCAAAGAAATTATCCATTTCTCTAAGGCTTCCTCCTCTGCAGGAGTCAATTTTAATGAATTTGCGCGTATTTCTGTACGCGATTTGATTCCCTGCAGACGATGCTGGAGAGTTGATCGAGGAACTTCAAAATCGCGGGCTGCTTGGGCCACGTTAGGAGTATCGCCATTTTTTAAAGCTTCAATCGCGAGGACGATCCGGCCCTCTTGTTCAACACCGTTTTTTAACGATTTGGACATTTTTTGGTGGTGATATCGCGGATTCAATGCTTTGTGGTTGAAAAAACGCATGTTTTCGGAACGCGGGTGGCCACTCGCTTACAGTGGCCACTCGCTTACCGATTACGTTATCAATTCAAGGTATTTGGAAGCTCTTAACTCGTAACCCATGATCGAGTATTGCAGGCTTAAGAAGGCACACTAAGACGGAGTATAAAATGGTCTTTGGGTAATTGATATGAGCTGCTTCTATATCCTACAGCTATTTATATGCTATCAGCTGCTTTTATTATTGTGTGAACAGAGTATGATTACTTTTATCTGTGTACTATTATGGTTACCATACAATACATCCACATACGTCTATTCAGATATAGAAATAGTAGAATTAAAGTATACAATACAACTTATGCTCGGGCCGCCTGTCACAAATGTACCCACTGAAGGTGGGCTTCCACCATCGGGACAGGCGGCTTCTCTGGTGGAGAGAGTAATTCTATTACTACAACAGAAATACCATAAATGGGATAGTAGCCTGTACCCCACTACAGCCAAGTTTTTGATTTTCCTAGAGTCATTCTCTTGTTGCCAATGAAATATATATTATTATTTGGAGTAGTTGATCAGCAGCAAACTCTTGTTATCAAAATGCCTTTTTCAGTATAGTCCAAAATATCTATTCAGCTGACCCAGAACTCATTTGCTGCCAAGATAACCATTAGGTGTGAGTGTAATCTAAATTTGAAGACTGTCATCTAAAGTAACTAGATAAACAACTACCCACACGCTTATGCCTAGTAGGCTATCTAGAATGAGGAGGGGTAGGGTAAGACTTATGGCCTATGTTGCAGCCGGCCATCATGATACACTTTCTATCAATTTCCTAGTCTGGTGGCTATCCAATTTCTGTGTTTTCTTCTATTCTTGGTTAGTAGCACGCTTTTCCTATTATGGTAGCTATCCAAGTTCTGTGCTTTCTTCTATTCTTGGTTAGTAGCACGCTTTTCCTATTATGGTAGCTATCCAAGTTCTGTGCTCTCATCTATGCTTGACTAAGGTAACTACTACTTCTGGTTTAGTAGATCATGCTAAAGTTTAGGAGAAGCCGGCGATCGGATCAATCAATTCATTTGATAGCGAAGACTCCCCTCCAAGCGCAGGGGATTAGATTGACTTGCAAGAGAAAGCCAATCACAGCATATCTATGTAAACAGTAGCAATTTCACAGATAGGACAGACCTGGAGATAGATCTTCCAGTGTAGCCACTGAGACATATCAAACACACTCGCCATGTCTACAAAGCTGTCAGCCTTGTCTCAAGATACACACAGCAATCTGACACAGGACCAGCTTGCTCGCATCATTCTAGTCATGAATTGGTTCATCACCATCATTCAAAAATGCAAGGCCGTTGCTCAGAGGCGACTGAAGTCACTTCCATGCTTGGGGTTAAGTGAGGAAGACCTCACTTCAATGCGATCCCTCTCTGGTCCATCTAATAATGGTTGTTTATTCACACCAGCTGTGAGTACCAAGCGTGTAATTGTTTCTACGCATATACTGATGATATTTGGAATGTAGTCAAATCATAGTCTTAGTCAAAGACCGACAGTATCCAGGGAGGAAGATATTACTTCAATGCGACCTGTCTCTGATTCATCTAGTATGACTTATTTACCCACACCAACTGTAAGTACCAAGCGTGTCTTTGTTCTGTCATGTATACTGATGGCCTTTGGGATGTAGTCCGATCTCAGTTGTAGGGGAATAGTATTCGCGGGGAATCTCTTCTATGACCTGCTTATCGGCACTTACGACCCAGTTTCTGAAATAATTTAGTTTCAACAACTCATGGATATTGTTCGTCTCGATGATCACAAGTTCACAGCCCTCGGGTCATTAATAAACAAAGAGATCATTGTTTGTTTCACACACGTGCGCGATACTGTTAGTCACCCTGTTATTGTGTCTATTCCGTGTCAAGTTCCTCTGGCCCCCGTGAGCTTTATGCCGCACATGTAGAGTAGTTCTACCTGGTTCTGGATATGACTCTGTTGACAAGGATACGCTAAAACACGACCCCCATCACTTAGCGTACTATTTGTCTAATGACGTTAGTTTGCATTGATTTTTTACCAAAGTACTGTATAGGTTTCTGTTATCCCATGGAATGTGGCATAGCCTGTTTTCGAATCGTTCACTCAATCCTTGTGCCAATGTATCCAAAGTCGGGCAGTACATTCTTTGGCCAGGCTGTGTCCTGACCATCTTTAGAACAAATGCGGTTCTTGCCCTCCTAGGTAGCCTCTCTTTATTGCCGAGATAATTACTCCATGTAGAACCCAGAATACTCAGCGCCAAGCATTACTGTGCTTTGTCATCATCCATCATAAACAGCATATTGCTGATCTCGCTATGGTTGCGAGACAAACGTTCAAAAGGCAGGGAGTGTGGAGTATAGCCAAAAATATTGCCGCATATTCGAAAACTTCTACTCTCTATTACCTCCGAAGACTGCACGGACATCCGAGCCTACAACAACAGATTTCTCCGCATTACCAGAATCTTCATCAAGTCACGCCCAAAATCTGAGTCAATTGGATCGGGGGTTCTTCCAGCTCAAGCTCCTTAAGGCGCGAAGGCTGATACGAGACAGACATTGCATTAAAGGCCTTTTAATTATGTTTCATAGCTTCGACCCTGCAGTCTTTCAATCACCAGAGGGCCAGTCACATTTTCAGTGGAATCCTCATCCCATAGTATCTGAAGCTAAGAATCTCTTTAGGTACCTATCATGTCTTTGCAAATTCGTTAATCTCTATGATTAGAATCACGAGCTCTCATTAACAGCATATGTTCGTAAGATAACTAAGAATTTGACAAAGAGATATATCCAGAGTGGTTTTCATTGGCAAGACAACAGTTAGGCGTTTGTCTTCAAGTGATGGGTCAGTCACAAAATGCAACGATAAGATGCGGTGTTTATAGGTACCTGTCTACACTGTCTGTGAATCCCGCTTTAATTGAGGTAACGCCCATTTAACCACCCACTCTGACTGTAGGACCTCCTGGATCGTTAGCCGTTCTTCAGGTCGGAATACCAACATTCGGCGCATCAAATCAATAATGGCGGTTGTTTCTTCCGTATCAAACTCACACCCACGTTTTCGTCGATACTTCTGTACAGTGTCCTCAAAAGCCATTTCAATTCCAGGCCAAACATAGCGGCCTTCTTTTGGGTTCCCGTTGCTGTCGAAAAACTGGCTTCGCTCCTGCCAGCGCATCCACCAATCCGACGGTAAGGGTCCAAGCACGTCAATTTGCTGAGATACTATTTCATCCGCAGTAACACATGCATTGCAGAAGATTGGCTGCATACCAAGAATTTCCCAAATCGCTATGGCCAAGCTCCAGATATCTGCTGAGTATGACAGAGGTGCCTCTGGTTCAAACCGGGCTTCAGGAGGTTGCATTGCTAAGGGTGTATGGCAGTCTTTACCATAACGAGTTTCCAGATCCGGAGCAAATGCTTCACCAAAGTCACTGAGCAGTATATGCGTGTCAGACAGTGAAAATTCCTCTGCACCTTTTCCAAGATAAAGAGGTAATACTGCCTTTGATGGAGTGTTTAGTAGAAGCGGCTTCCCATCGCATCGTGTAATAGAGACGATTTCAGGCTCTCCATACTCTTCATAAAGCTCCTCAACCGATAGATGATTGAAACCTGATGGTAACTTAACCAAAATATTACGGAGATGAATATCTGGGTGAAGAGATTATAAGTATCAGTCTATCAAAGAATGACAAGGCTACTAATGATTTCAATCGTTAGCAGCACTCACCTCCATGAACGTAGCCCCGTGAATGTATGTAAGCGATAGCCAGTATGAGGCTGCCTGATAGCGCCCGCGTAACTTCGAGGGGGAAAAGGCGACTGAAAGACACTTCTCGAAGATCGCACCGCGCGGGTATCATGGTATAGCATGGATGTGTTCCATTAGGCCCATTGAGTTTAAACTCATCTAATGGAGTGGGAATAGAATCATGTCCTGGGTTTGAAAGAGCTCGAAGAATCTTGGTTTCTTGCATAGGTGAGTTCGCTGTACCAACTTTAACAGCAATATAGCGATGCAGACAAGTATCCAGGGCTAGCCAAACAGTTGAATAACCTCCAAAGCCCAGTTTGTCAATAATTCGGTATCGCCCGCGAAGCACGTCTCCTATCATGATAGGATGAAAACCCCCTGGACGGTACTTTTCGAGTGACTCCACGCCGTCAATCCAGTTGTATTGAAATTGACGGCCTCCCGGATCTTCTTCATTGAGAAACATTTTCCTTGAATAAGAGGCCAACGGTCGCACGAGATAAGCTTCAGGTCTCTGTCCTCGGAGAGAGTGCAACCGGTACGGTGTTAAAGGATTAGACTGGGAAGCACTTGACGATGGAAAACGAAAGATTTTTCGAAGGACTGTCTTGGAGCAGCGCGCCATGATAGATAGTTATTGATGTCAGAAGGGGTAAATTGGGCGTGGCGGAGCTCAGAAGTGTCGCTCAGAAGGCTAATACAATGCGACCAATCAGACATACCACAATTTCTCACGTGAGTTGCAGCGCCAACCTACGGGGCTAGTAATAATGGCAGCATTCCGTTTTTCGCTATTATTAGGCAGCTCCAATGTAGTCGCACAGACTTCGTAAAACTGGGCTTACAGCTCGGCGTGGGTAGAAAAAAACTCCGCGTGGGTAGAACCCTGGAATGGATTAACTCTTGGCGTGGGTAGAGATTCTACCTATAATAAGGTTAGCCCACGCTAGCTCTACTCATGATAAGCTATTTATCTAATTATAATAGAGTCTTGTTTAAGATTATCTATTACTATACTAAAATTTACTACTATTACTCTATACTATCAATATAAAGGTTAATTCTAGTTAAAAAAAGCCTTTTTTCTAACTAAAAAAAGAATAATAAATAATACTAGTATTAAAATTATTATTATTATAATTAATTTTTACCAAGTATATACCTATTACTAGTATATTAAAAATAATAAATATTTTATTTATATTAAGTATATACCCTAATAATAAGAGATAAGCTTATTATAGATAAAGAATTAATTTCTACCTATAATAAGGTTAGACCACACTAGCTCTACCCATACCAAGATCTAGAGTTCATTATAGGTAGAAAATAGTTGGCGCTAGTTCTACCCACGCGGAGTTTTTTTCTACCCACGCCGAGCTGTATCCCCATCTTTGGGCCGGACATAGGACCTCGAACCCGCTTAGATGGCTGGCCATCCAATATTTGCGGCTTTCGCTTGCGTGGTTTCGGACAGTTGACTGCAGGTAGAGGCCTTCGGAGGGCTGCCACACAAAACAGACTCTCAATGATTGGAGAATTGCAGTCCATGCACCCAGACAACAGTTCCCTGTTTCGGAGAAAAGTTACCCGTATCCTGTAATCCCCGTCGTCTTAAACTAGGATTTTCATGGCACAAAGACATAACTGAGAGAGTTTCATACAAGGAAAGAAAATTACTTCAAGCAAAAGATAATGAACGTTTACTACAAAGAAGATCTACATATACGTACCTAATCTTATAAACATAGAAGAGTGGGAAATAGTTGGGACATCCTGAGCCACAAAAGAAAGCCTTGTGCGTTATTTGCCCCTAGGCTTTGAACATGTCACCGGCCGGGCTTCAAACTTCAAATGTCTTGACCATCGTCTTTGCAAGGATTTCAAATCCCTTCCAGTGAACCTCCGACCGAATTCCTCCTCGATATGTTCCCATTCAAGTTTTCTGTACACTAATTCACGAAGGAGCGCATCTTCCGCATCCGAGTAAGGCCGGCCCCGTTGGCGGCTGGGGAATGAACGAGATGCTTCCGCTCGAGCCCTTGCCCTGGTTCGAGGGCCCCTGCCTGTGGCGAGCTCGGCGTACCCCAACACGCTGCACGCGGGCTCCTTCCGACGATGACACTTTGACCAGAAGATTCTAGATGGGCTACACACGATAGTCTCGGTCATAGGCTGGGGCCCTCTGCATCCAGAGGAATTGACTTGTGATTCTTCATCCAACTGGCAGGAAGCCATCAAATCCAGTAATCCTAACATATTGGACAAGCCACTCTTGCTCCCATCAGAAAGCGGAATCATTGGGCTAATCTCACCACTTCGGCCGTCATCGGCAACATCGGAGTGGCTTTCGCCGGGCACGCTTATCCCACGAACTTTGGATATAGCTGAACTTGTTTCGGAGCCGCTATCCATAGTTTTGTGGGCTACCGAAGCTTCGCAGCTATCAGTATCACTTCTTGTCGGTATTCTAGAGAATAGTTCATCTGGGTGGAGCAAGTCGTCGCTGTTAATACTGCTTGTCTCGTCACAGTCATTCTCAAGCCCGGTGACTGAACCTGGGCGGGGCAAGATCACTGGTAAAAGAATGAGCCTCGGGCAGCAATATGTAGTAGATTTGGACGAACCTTCGCCGGATGAACTAATAACGCTATCTGCGCGAGGGCTGCTACACACCCCATTGGAAGAAGCAGTTGCATGATGGTTCGCAAAGGGCCTGTTCTGGCCGTTGTTCACAGAGATGGATTTGCCATACTCAATATGCTGAGCTACCACGTCGCGAGGTGAGGTCTTAGGCTGGGGAGAAAGGAAAGTGTAGGCATGGAAGTACATGGAAATTGGAGGTTTCAGAGGCAATGGGTACTTCATGGGTGTTGGGGAACGTGAGCCAGGGAAATTACAGGGTAAAGGAGAGAGAGTCAAGGGACCATTATAAGAAATCTGGCGATCCATCTTGAAAAAATGAGCAAAAAGTGGGAAGTAGTCTGGGGACAAAACTTTTGAGGAAATGGATTATGCTGTCTGCGTAGCTGCGTAATGATTTTGTCGAGCTGGACCAGGGTATTTATAGCCAGCAGATCAGGGACCGACTGAAGTTCCAAGACCCATGATTGGGGCTTCAATGGAGTAACACGCCTCCCAAAGCCGGACCGGATGGCCATGGACTAAGCCCGTCCCTGTCCTGTACTCGTGCTCACGCGCCTCACGCGCCATGAGTCTGGAAAATGATTGTTGTATCCATTTCACTTTGAACCCAGCCAATGCAATCGACCAGCCCATGGAGTTTGCCTGGGATCACGGTCTACCGCAGGGACAATGCAAGGACTACCCATACAGAGTAAATGCTCTAATGCATGGCTCGAACTCCGCCAAGTATCACATCATCACGGAATATAGCCGAGCTTCAACAAGTAGCACCGCAACCTTTCCACATTCGACTAATGACAGGGCGCAGTAGACCGGACGATCGGAGATGAAGGACCAATCGGCCATGAAATCGGTAAGTAAGATGCCGCGGATATGTGAATGGCGATGGCGATGGCGATGGCGATGACGGTGACGGTGTGCCGCTGCCGAATAGCCGGCCAGAGCCATGAATGAGGCATTTATGCCATTGGACATGGTCCTCCGAGGCGCAATTTCGTCAGTATCCCAACTAATCCAATCGCATAGCATAGCAGGACACTCGGGATCAAACATGGACTGGGGCGAGGACAGAGGCGCAGGGACGGGCGACCGCCGGAAACGGGTAAGACGGTGTGAGGGTGAGGGGTAGGAGGAACAAGCGTAAGCCGCAACGCGTAATCAGCCTTGCAGCCTGTTCGAGCATCGGTCTCTTCGGTCCTTGAATCAGGGAAGCGCGGATGGTAGATGGGGTACCTCTAGAAACTGGTAGACAAAACGAGGTCCCGTACAAACAAGCGACGCATTTTCTAATAGTATAGGCTAGAGGGTAGAAAATAATGCATACAACCACTAGACAAAAGACGGCAAAGCAGAAGGGAGAAAGTCCGATTCACCTGAACAGCCGGTCAGAGCTGAAGGGGTGTCTTTCCAGGATTCTGGAAGTGGAGGCGACGGGGAACGAGGGTCGCAGCCGCAATTTCCGACAAGGAAAAAAGGGAGGGGGGGATTGAGGGAAAAGAAGGGAAGTGGGTGAAGTGGGAGGGCCAGAGGGTAGGAGGTTCTTATATACTCGGAGGAGGTGAACGGGCAATGATGACAGTACGGCGTATCGGGCGACTAAGCCGAAAGCGGCAAAACTAACTGCAACAGGAAATTCACAGGTCCTCGGATTACACCAAAAAGTTCTCGGATCGGATGGGTCGGTCGGTGTTCACAAAACCTCCTGGTTCTGAAAAGTGACTACTTGGATGAGCATGCGAGTATTGTACATGCGAGCGTCGGATCATGAGATTTGTTGGTTTAGGACATCAGTTCGATTCGCCAGTACATACAGCTACTGGGACGATGTCCGCGTCTGACTATCTCAGGGTGGTACTGTACCTTCGGCTCGCCCGCTGCTTGAGCTTCCCGCGAGCGGCCTGGTCGTCTCAAGGCCGCTAATAACATGTTCCTCCGCGGCATTTACTTAATTGCCGCAACGAACTCTAGAAGTCAAACATACTGATGGTCAGCAGACATGTTTTGAAACTCTTTCGATCGACAAAAACCTAATTGATAACTAGAAACACCAACAGTGGATCAAGATATCAATGAGCGTATATCACGAATATGATACCTCGACACTACGATTAGAGCGCTCGACAGGCAATCAGTAATATTATGAGACAGGCTCTTTGTGGGATTCGACGACAGCGCTAGTTTGTCTACAATACGTTCACCGAAGCTTCGTTGATCGAATGCAGCGAGGCTAATATGAGCATTTTTGTAGTAGCAGGAAATGCAAGTTTTCATAATGGATGTGGGAAGTTCTGTGTCTATGTGAGAAGCTAGACTCGGGCTACGGGACGGAGAAAGCAAAGAAAATAGCTGCCCTGATGTGCGCTTATAGAGTAGTCCGAACGATGAGGGCTTTTGAGTTGCAGTTTGTGCATTGCACGCAGAGAAGGCGTGAGTGAGTCAGCCTGAGAACTGATGGTAAGAAACAATGCTAGTCCATACACATAACACGGATTATTTGTCTTTCTCAGATTGTCACAATACAGCTAATATGTAGTTACCTGTAAGGAGACCTCGGCTCTAACAGCAGCAGTTTGTGGCTGTGCGGGCTTATGTATCAGCAGAATAAGGCTGTCAGATGAGTTAATTACTGTACCAGGAGAAACATCAATTTTAACGCATGCTCTTTTTCTGCCGGCAGAACATCCTATTGCATGCATGGTTTGGTTTTCTCCTGGCACAATCTATGTACGATTTTAGTTTTCTCCCCACAAACCCTGAGGACTTTCTGCCAGCATTATTATGATGTAGAGATTCTAATTTCTGCTGGAAGAATCTTTGATGCAAGACAGTTTATGAAAAACTGCCTTCAACCTGTATAATCAGAAGCCCATCTTAATAGCTGTCACCCATAACCTCATCCTTCTGAATATATAGAAACCGGAATTGTAATTTATAAGAGAAATAAAAAGGTATTGAGAAGAGTAAAAGCCCTTGAAGCTTCATAGTATACTTAACTAATAACATTATATGCTGGCAAGGGGCAATATTCTAGATTCTTTAATAGATAATATTTTAATAATTTATTATATATATTTTATATATAATTTATTAATATTCTAGTAGCTATTTTAGTATTCTTAATTAAGTTAACTACCATGACAATAATTATATAAGAGACCAGCATTTTTAAAGTAAACTTGCTAATTAGTTCAGGAAATATTTTTAGAAGGCTAGGATTACTATATTAAAAGTAGCTAACTCTCTTATAAGTAGATTAAGTAACTTATCTTCTTCTTAACTATATAGTAAAGCTTTATACCTCAAGCTCTATAAATTTATAGATTTCTAAGAGAATTTAGCTGCTTGCTTACAAGCTTTTACTCTAGTTACAGGCCCTGTTAGTCCTAATTCCTCCACAGTTTTACTCTCCATAGGGCACATGCTGGAGTCACCTTGTATAGGAGAAGTTACTTCTATTTAGGGAATAGGTATACTAAAGTTCAAGTATAAGGTAGACTCCTTATATAGTTTAGTTAAATAAGATAATATCTATTTAATAGATATAATATTCATGCTAGACAAAGTTATATCTTTATTATAGATTTCTTACTCTATTATATTATCAGTCCTTTAATATAGGTCCTTAATCTCAAGCTACTTGTCACGGCGACCACGTGACATGCAACCACATGCCAAACCACATGCCGAACCACATGCCTAGTAACCAAGGGTAATTAGGAGAATAATAATATTCAAGTTATTTATATTATACTAGTAACTTAATTAAATAATATAAATAATAATTGTCACGGGGAGCAGGCAGGCAGTAGGTGTAGCTAATAGCAGGGTATATATTCAGGCTATCTGCGTATAGGTACAATAGGTAGGGATTAGGTTAGGATAAGGATATAGCTTAAAGAGCTATAATAAGATTAGGGGTAATATAGCTTAAATATAGGAGTAAAGATAGATAATTAAGGTAGAATCTAACTAGATAGGTATATAATTATGCCATAATAGTATCCCCTTTCTTAGGCTAAGCTCTAGTAAAGTATTCCTAGGGTCCAGGCTTTCTAGGGTAGTAATAATAATAGATAGTAATATATTTAGTAGTATTCTCTAGGTAGCTAGCAGGAACTTTAATAATAGTAGGGTATCTAACCTACTTAATAATATATTTTAAATATAGGTAGCTACTTTAGCTATAATAATTCTAGTAGGAGTTAATTACTTCCTTAACCTCTTATTTCTTAATATTATTAATTTTAATATATAAAGATTTAATTTCCTTTTATCTAGATAATAAGTTTTTAGTAGTTAAGTATAATAATTTAATATAAAATACTAGATATATTTTTATACTCTTAAGTAAGTCTAATTTATAAATATAAGAGCTAATAACTCTTTTAATAAAAAAAGGGCTTAGATTTTTCTAGTCTAATTTTTTTTAAGAATATAAGATTATAATATTTTTAATATTTAATTAGATTAATTAATCTTTAATATAATATCTAGTAAAGTAATATTTCTAGTTAGTATAATATTTATAGTAGGCTTAAGTAATAATTATAATAATATAATAATATTTTTATATCTATTTTATAATTAGAGTAAATTAGTAAGTATTATAAATTTATAAGTAGTAATTAAATAGAATAAATTTAAATCTTATATAAAGGTTAAAATTATATAAAGTAAAGAATAAGAAATATCTAGTAATTTTAAAATTAATATTATTAGTAATAAATTCTACTATAAGTAGCTATTTAGCCTAATTATCTTATAAATAATTAATATAGATTTATAGATATTATTTTAAAATAATATTTATATATTTAATTTATTTATTAGTCTTAAAATAGTAAGTAATAAATAAGAGTAATCTTATCTTTAAAATATAGTTTAAATATATTTAAAATATTAATATAAATTAGGGTCCTTAATTAAATATAATAAATTTAAAGAATTTATAAAATCTTTAAATATAATCTTAAAATAAATAAATAGCTTTTTTAATATTATAGATACTATTATAAGAAATATAGTATTAAAACTTTATTAATTAATTAATTATTATTATAATAATATTAAAGTCTAAACTTTAGAATAAATATATAATAAAATTAATAAATATATCTTTCTAGGAACTCTTAAATATAAGTAAGGAATAAAATATTTTTTAATACTTATTTTAATAGAGTATAAATTATTTATAAATATAGTAATTATAAATCTATTATTCTATAAATTATAGTATTTTAAATTAATAATATAATTATAATAATAATTTATAAATCTTTAATTTATTTTAATAATTAATAATTATATTTTTATAATATTTATATATTAATTTTATCTTTAATTTTTCTATATTAGGAATATATAATTAGTTATAGTAAAATAAAAGTCTAGAATAGTAGATATACTTAAATAATATAATTAATAGATAATAATTATAGCCCTTTTCTAGATTTTCTAGAATATTATTAGGGGCTAGATCTTATTTATAATTCTTATTTAGGCACTCTCTTAACTATTTAGGGAGCTAGATAGTCTCTTCTTCTTCAGGCTTAGGTAGCTAGAAATATACTAACTTCCTTCTAGTAATAGCTTAGAGCTAGATTAATTATAATATTTACTAATTCTATAACTTCTCTAAATATTTAGGTAAGAAGCTTACTAAATTTTCTCTTTTTAATATTATTTAACTCTAGTATAATAAGTATTTATCTCCCTTCTTAAGGAGATCCTATAATTTCCTAGTTAAATTATTTAATTTTATCCTATACTTGCCTGGGTAATAATTAATTATAAAATTAAAATAAGATAAGAATTTAGATTATTAGACTTATTATTAGTTTAATATTTTAATTATTATAAAATATTCTAGATTTCTATAATTAATTATAATCTTAATTAAATATTAATATCTTTCTAATTCTAGAGTCTATTTTTCTAAATAATAAATAATTACTAGTAACTCTTTATTATATATTTTATAATTATACTTAATTAGAGTTATTTTCTTTAAGTAAAATCTTATTAAGTATAGAATTTTATTATTATTATATTATAATAATACTCTAGTAAATATAAAGTCTAAAATATTAATTTCTAAAATAGCTAGTTAATTTTAATTAAAGAACCTTAATATTAGTTCTTTAATAAATTCTATTTTTAGTATTTTAAAAGTAGTCTAGTAAGTTAAAATCTATAAAAATAGGATTTTTTTCTTCTTTAAGGTAGTAATAAGTATAAGAATCTATAAAAATTCTTTAATAAAATATTAATAGAATCTAGTAAATCTTATAAAATTTTTAATATTAGTAACTATCTTAAGTAGCTTCTAATTTATTATAATCTTAATTTTTTTAAGATCTATATAAGTACCTTCTCTTCTAATAATAATATCTAGAAACTTAATTTCTAGCTAGTAGAATTTATACTTAGATATCTTTATATATAGGTTATTATTTTTTAAAATTTATAATATTTACCTTAAGTATTTAATATATTTTTTTCTTATATAGCTATAAATTAAAATATTATTTAAGAATATATTATAAAATATATTTATATATTATTATAGGATATTATTTATAAAATATTAGAAAATAGCTAGGATACTAGTTAGACTAAATAATATAACTAGGGACTTATATAGCCTAAAATAAGTTTAAAAAGTAGTTAAGTACTCTAATTCTTTCTTAATATAGATATTATTAAAGATAGTTACTAGATTAATTTTAGAGAAGTACTATATTTCTTATAGGTTATTTAGGATTTCTTTAATTAGGGGTAATAAATAGTAGTTCTTAAGTAATATAATATTTAGTCCTTAATAATCTATATATAGGTAAAGGCTACCTCTAGGTTTATTAATAAATAAGATAGAAAAAATAGCTAGAAATAAGCTAGAATATATAAAATCTTTCTTTAGATTCTTTTTTAGCTATTTCTTTAGAGTAATTAATTATACTTATAATATTAGATATAATTTATTAAATAAAGACTATTTTCTTTCTTAAATCTTAATATTATAATTATATAATTAATATAGTAGTAGTTTTTTTACTTTTTAAGAATTAAATATATCTTAAAAATCTTATAATTCTAGAAAAAATATAAATAATAATTTAAAACTAGTATCTCTATATTTTAGTTCTTATTAACTTTATTTAATAAGATCTAGTATAGTTTCTATACTAGATAGTAGGTATATATAACTAGTACTCTTAAGAATATTTAGTATATTTTTATAAATATAAAAGGTTTTAACTCTAGTAATTCTTCTTATTAATTTAATTACTTAGGTTAATTCTTCTAGAGAATATTTATTAGGGCCCTTATTCTTATAGACTTAAGAGATATATTATAGTATTTATAATAATATTAGCTATTAAATATAATTATTTAG